GCTTCAGAGCTTTTTATTTTTTAAGAAATAAAAATAAAAGCTACATTTTCTGTTCCTCTATTAAGTGTGGTCTTTATGATACTTGTGCATGTGTTTATACTTTCACTAGTATGTGTTTTGCAATGTATAGTATTGCTATAATCTATTTCATTGTAATACAGATACATCATAACTTTCCTTCTGCACCTTGCTTTTTCACTTAACATTTTTTTATATTTATCTACATTGTTACAGATAACCTTAGTTCATTCATCTTAGTATTTATATTATAAATTTATCTACTTTTCTGTTGAACATTTACTTTTCCGATTTTTAAACTACTGTAAATTATACAAAATAATTCTTGGCTCTCTGTACTTATTATCAAGAGATTCAATTCTTTATAGTATATACCTAGTAGCATAAATATATTATTTAGAATTACTGTAGAAGCTACTGGAAGAAGTAAAAATAGGAATGATTTCATTTAGGGACTGAGAATAAGAAGATACATTTTCATTTAATGTCACTCTGAACTATTTACATTTTATTTTAATTAAAGTCCATATCCTAATTTTATTTTATGAAAAATAAACTGAAAATCTCTTCTTTCTAACATTTAATCAGTTAACACACCCGATCTATTTGAACCTGTAATGAAAGTCATATTTATCTCCCTTCTAGTTTCTAGAGGCTAACCCTATTTCAGACTCTACTTACTTTTTGCCTGGATTATTATGTCATCCTGCTAACTGTACTTACTTTAGTTTCTGCTCCCCCCCACACACACACGTAAACATTTTCATTCAGCTGTCTCAACCCATTTATTTTCTAGATGCTGTCAGAGAACTTTTAAAAGGACAATTCCAATTAATTTATTATACCATTGAAAAACTCAGTGCATTTTCATTCTGTAGAGCGAAATTCAGATTCCTTAGAATGATATTGACACTTTGGTCTTTTCTTTCCTGTCAGTAGTTTTTGTCTGGCTTCCTCCTGCCTGCCCCCTTCAACCCTCAATTCTTTAATCTAGCTCAAATTCTAAATGTTCCTGTTTCTCTTTACTGAACATAAGTTCTGTTCCCTTTATGTACCTATTAGATTTTGTTTACACCTCCCTGTTGATATTAATTTCCTGTTACATATTTCAGCTGTGACATATTTTTTACAACCTCTATTAAATTTAAGCTCCTTGGAGATTGGGACCTTGATGGCTCATAGTTATGTCTTCTCATAGTGCCTACTTGGCATAGAACTTTGCATTGTAATAAGGCACTCAGTAAAGTTGAGTTGATCCTCTCCTTTGTTCGTGTGATTGAGTAAATAATGCAAAGGGATATTGAAGAAGTTGAATGAACAGAGAGTGATAATGATCTGCTCTACTTGCTCTTATCCTCTTGGCTAACCAATTATGTAACTTTCCCTCAATTTCATTTGTTTCCCAATAAACTGCATACTAGAAATACCCTTTTTTCCTTTTCTTATCTGTTCTGTTTATAGAATATTTGAAATTTAATCTTTTCACAGAAAGTTCTGATAGCTGTTTAAACTTTTACTTACAATCTCCTTTACTGCTTTATTAGTAACTCATCCTATTAAATATTTGTCATGAATAATCATTCACACTGGTTTAATTACTATATTTCTTGTATTTTACTATGTTGAATTTAAGGTGGACCATTAATTTAATAATAACAAAGGACCTGGAAAAACACTGTATTAAAAATACAAAGAAAACGTTGAATTGAGTATAGCATTTTGTTTTTTTTGAGTATAGCATTTGTTTAGCTCTACAGTTTACATTGCCTAGAGTGTATCAAGTAATCATCTTTTAATTTTATTGCTGGATCATACTATAAACTGAGAACATACTAAACACATGTAAGGATTAAAATTTCAGTTACAGTTCAGTGGAATATTTCAACCATTGTCAACCAACTGAGATGTGGCAATCAGGTAAACAAACTTCTTGGTCTTACTAGGTTTTCATATTGAATGGAAAGATATAATTACTGACAAATTACACTTTTCCCTGAAAGCTGGCATTTTTCTTTGGCTTTTATTTTGAGATTTAGTCTGATAGTAAGATTTGTCTTGATATGTGAAATACAGTGTAATCTAAAATGTATCACCTATTCTGTCCATCTGCAATTTTAATCTTAGTTTTTAATTAGATGAATTTTTCTTTATAGCTCTTTGTACAGAGAATATTAAGTATGTCAGAAGCTGATCTAAAACAATAGTTTTGAGGAGAGAGAGAAAGGATTAAAAACTAATAAAAGTAGACAGGTGAGCTCTTTGCCACAAGTAGGAAGTAGGCTCTGTTCCACTGAAACAACAATTAGTTGACTTTTAAAATGTTGGAGATCTTGTTGATTTTAGAATACACAAAACCAATTTTGACCTCTTCAGTCGGAAAGTACTATTTGTGTTTTCTAACCACATATACTTTTGACAGTAATGTGAAGAAATTCTGTACTTTAGTAAGTGTATTAGAATAATTCGTGTTGTGATTATAGCTAAGTCCCAAAATGTCAGTGGTTTAACACAATAGAAGGTTATTTCTCACGTAAAGTCAAAATGAGTGTTTCCGATTAACAGGTGGCTGTCCCATATATGGAGATGGAGTAACCTAGGCTTCTTTTGACATGATTCCACTTTCTTGGGTTTTCAAGGAAAACAAAGAATGGAATATAGAAAGAAAAATTGAAATTAATTTGCAGTTATTTAGCTCTATAGTTTACAATGGCCTGGCACATGAGAGTCCTTTGAGATTTGGGCCTGGAAGTGGTATACATCCCTTCCACTCACATTCTTTTGGCCAGATCTTGCTCACTTGGCCATGCCTAATTTCAAGAAAGCGTAGATAGTATGGGATGCCACTGTGCTCGGAAGAAATGTTTGGTAAACACTCAGCTAGTCTCTGTTACAGGTGATAATGTAAAAAAGTTTGTGTCAATAATTCCTTTGTTGTTTAATCATGAAATTTTAAAGGATAATTTGGAAACAGATGCCAACCATTGATTAGTTTTTATCTTTAAAGTAGAAAAATATCCAGATATACAGATAATTTATCACATATCTGTTAGGTACATAAGAAGATTGAGTCATCTCATGAATATACAATGAGATGTGGCTAATATAGTTAGTTGTTGGCAGAAGACAAGGATGAAAAGTAGATATAGTTATCATATTTTAGTAATTTCTTGCTTGTTCACATGGTTAACTCTATCAATGATAATAAGAAATAGGGATGAGGACTAAGAGAGCTACATTTTCTGAATGCTCACTATGAGTCAAGTGCTTTTAAAATATTGCCATCAATTTTGAGGTAGATACTATTTATTTTTTTATAGCTAAGAAATCTTGGGACCTGAGAATTCAGCATGATAGGAAATAAGTTCTAGGATTTAGGCCTAGGTCCTCATTTACAAATATCAATAGATAGTGAAATTAGTAGGTAGTAAAAACTCACCAGATGTATGAAAAAGGTACTTGCAAACCCAGTACCAGACTGAACACTCGGAACAGATGACTTACACAGAAACATTAATACAGAAAACCGGGACAAACTTAAATTATAGATTAATTTATAAGTTGAGCCCAATTTGTGAGGATATTGCATTTACAAGATGAAAGCAGTTGATCATGGGAAAAAAAATCTGTGAACGACTATATTTTATTTTATTTTATTGAAGGAGACTGGAGTTTTATTATTAAATCAGTCTCCCGGAGCATTTGAGAATCAGAGCTTTAAAGGACAACTTGGTGGGGGGACGGCAGGGAGACTAGGGGAAGCCAGTGAGCTGGGAGTGCTGATTGGTCAAATCAGAGATGAAATCATAGGGATTTCAAAGCTGCCTTATTGTGCTGAGTCAGCTCCTGGGTGGGGGCCACAGATCCCATGAGCCAGTTTATCCATCTGGATGGTGTCACCTTGAACAACAATATTTTAAAAGAAAAAATAGTTCAAATGGAAAATAACAGAGTAGGACAGTTGCAGTGGTCTAAGGTAGGCAGATCTCTTGAGCTTAAGAGTTTGAGACACATCTGGATGTGGTGAAACCCTGTCTCTGATAAAATACAAAATTAGCCAGGTATGGTGGCATGCACCTGTATTCCTAGCTACTCTGGGCTGAGGCATGAGGATCACTTGAGCCCTGGAGGCCAAGGCTGCAGTGAGCCATGATCATGCCACTGCACTCCAGCCTGGGCAATAGAGTGAAACAAAAAAAAAAAAAAAAAAAGCAAAACAATGAGATTGCCAAGCAAAATATGTACTACTTTAAAATGTACTGAATATAAAGACAAATTTAAGATCCTGAAAAAGCAGGAAAAATGGAAATGACAGAGAAATCTAAATGGAGGAAAGATCCAAGAGATATAGTAACTGTATAATAAAAAGAACTACAGAGACATGGGTCATAAGGAGAAGTTAAGAAATAAAAATAGAAATTGAGTAAAAAGTTTGAAGTTTCAGATTAAAACAGTTCACTTAGTGCTGGAAAAGATTTTTTAAAAATACCTAGACTTAGTGGAAACCTTTTTCCAGTGAGTAATTTTCAAGGGATAATGTTCACAAACAGGACAACAGAAAACTTAGCTTACCTGAATAGCAAAAAAATTGATTTTCTTTGGATTTCTCACCTACAACATTAAATATTACAAAATATTTTAACTATAGAGCTCTGAGGTAAAAATAATTTTGACACAAAAATGTTGTTTTCAATCAAACTGTTGTTAAGAGGCAAAGACAGCCAGTTTTGAATGTATGGGATCAAAGTTTTATTGCTTACTCAAAATTGCTTAAAATGCCAAAAAGAGGCACTTAAAGAACAAAGTCTATACCCAAAAATCAGTTACAAATAGATTAAAGACAAATGTGAAAGGCAAAATTACAAAATTTTAGGAGACTGTGATCTCAGAGTTGGGAAAAATTTCTTAAATAAGATTCAAAGATTTATGATGAATATATACTGACAATGGTTGGTATTTCATTTGTAGATGATATAATTGTGTTTTTAAAATAATGATGAAAACCTGGAAGCCACCTGAAAAACTGAAATTCTTTTAAAAAGTTTTGGAGCATCTATTCAAGGAAGTTTTACACAGTCTGTAAAAATGATTACCTAAATCTGCTTTTTTAAAAATTTTATTTTGAGTCTTGCTCTGTCACCCAGGCTAGAGTGCAGTGGCACGATCTCAACTCACTCCAACCTCTGCCTCCCAGGTTCAAGTGATTGTCCTGCCTCACTTCCCAAGTAGCTGAAATTAACAGGCATCCACCCCCATGCCTGGCTAATTTTTGTAATTTTAGTAGAGGTATGATTTCACCATGTTGGCCAGGCTGGTCTCCTGACCTCAAGTAATCCACCCATCCTGGCCTCCCAGAGTGCTGGAACTATAGGCATAAGCCACCGTGCCAAGCCTAAATCTACTTGTTACAGAAAGATGTTCGTACTATGTCTATGTTCAGTATTTAAAAACCTTACAAAATATTGTAATAGGATATTCCATGAATGTGTATGACACACACACAGCCATTTCCAATGATGAGAGAAAATAGTTGTGACCATATGTATATATGATTTGCACATATTTTCTCCCATTCTGTGAGTTGCCTTTTCACTTTGTTGATTGTGTCCTTTGACATGCAAAAGTTTTAAAATTTGATGTATGTCTATTTTTGCTTTGTTACCTGTGTCTTTGGTGTCATAGCCAAGAAATCATTGCCAAATCCAATATTATGAAGCTTTCTTCTGTATTTTCTTTTGGGATTTTTATAGTTTTTGGTCTTATGTTCAGGTATGTATTTTAAGGTTTTTGTTTTGTTTTGTTTTAATCTGATAAAATATAAAGGTTAAGCTGCTTTCTTTTACATGTGAATATACAGGTTTAAATGAGTAGACAGAGAAAGAGATATGGCAAAAGTATGTAAATATTCAAGATGTTAAAAATAGTTCTCCTTGGGTAGTAGAATTATAGGTGATTTTTTACTTTGTCTACTTTTCTATATGTCTTTAAAAATCCAGTTTAAACAGTCATTGTATTAATATCTTTTTTGAAAGTCTCTTCCTCTTTTACTTGTATCTTTTCTCAGAAAACTGCCCTTTAATATAATAATAAGCAGTGTTAACAAAATAAGTATCAAATTAATTCTTCACCCATTTCTGTTAGTTTTTTTTTTCTTCTTCTGGATATTGGTTAGTATATAGATTAATAAAGGGTGAGTAATACAAAGGAACGCTGCTGTTTTTAAGTGCTTTAAAAAATATCCTCTTGGCATATTTGAACCTCTAATGATAGCTTTGTATCACCTTCAGAAATTCAAAAAGCAACCAAAGTAAAAAGAAAGGACCACGTACTCCTAGTCCACCCCCTCCTATACCAGAAGATATTGCTCTGGGGAAAAAATACAAAGAAAAATATAAAGTAAAAGACAGGATAGAAGAAAAACCAAGAGATGGAAAAGACAGAGGACGAGATTTTGAAAGACAAAGAGAAAAAAGAGACAAGCCAAGGTAAGTAGGATTGTATGTTATTAGCAATATTAACTTTTGTAGAATATAGAATATTTACTTTCCAGAAGCTTTTGGGCGTTATTATATTGAGTTTTTTAGTTTTGTTTACTATAGTGTACATGTTTAATAATTCCCATAATTGTCTATTATGAGTCATGGATAATTCAGTAAACATTTACAATTTATTTTTGAATTTTTTTATTGTGGTAAAAAACATAAAATGTATCATCTTAATCATTTAAAAGTTTACAGTTTAGTAGTGTTAAGTATATTCATATTGTAAAACAATTCTCCAGAACTTTGTCATTTTGCAAATCAGAAACTATATAAGAAAAAATTCCTTTCCACCTTTCCCCAGGTCCTGGTAACTATCATCCTATTTTGTGTTTCTGTGAATTTGACTGCTTCAGATACCTCATATACATGGAATCATACAGTATTTGTCTTTTTGTGACAGGCTTATTTCACTTAGCAGACTGTCCTCAGGGTTCCTTCTTGCTGTAGCATGTGACAAGGCTAAATAACATTACATTGTATGTACATGCCACATTTTATTTATCCATTCATCCTTTTGATGGATGTTTGGGTT